AAAGGTGAGCTTATCCGTTCCTTTGGTATTCTGTTGTAACCGAATAGGCTTATACGTAGATAGATTGTGCTTATCTTGTTGGTTGTAGGGGTGCAAACGAGCCGAGCCGAGCCCGAGCATGGGTTTGCTTGAGCTTGAGCTTGATAAGAATTCACGAGTTCGAGCTCGATCTCGAGCTTGGACGAGTTAAATAATTCGAGTTCGATCTCGAGCCGAGCTCGACTCGAGCTCCATTCGAGCTTGATTCGAGCTCAAGTCAAGTTTCACTAATTAATTTTATAGGTTTGAACTCGAATTAGATGCTCGAATTCGAGCTAAAAAATATTATATGTGTACTTATTCATTTTCATTTTATGTTTATCTCTCATTTACTAAAATTTATATTCTTTATTTTATTTTCAATAAATATTAAGAGTACATATTATAATTATTACAGATTATGGTTATAATAATAATACTACGCACATGTTATTATTTTTGACATTATTACTATTATAATATACTATGTGATAAGTATTGAAAATCGAATAGTCCAACATTAGAATATATATTTCAAAAAAGTATATATATAATTATTACATATATATTAATTATATATAAAATATGATACAAAAGCTCGCGAACCGGCTCGCGAGCCACGAGCCTAAAATAAATAGGCTTGAATAGAGCTTGTTAACTATTCGAGTCGAGCCGAACTCGAGTCGAGCTTAATATGACCGAACTCGAGTCGAGCTTTCCCGAGCGATCCACGAGCAGCTCGCGAGCGGCTTGGCTCACTTACACCCCTAGTTGGTTGTAAAGTGCTATTTAAAGCAGTCAAATACAAAGAGATCTCCACGGAGAATTATTCGATTCTAACTTGGTATCAGATTTTTTTTTCCCTTCTCTTCTGCTATCATGGCTTCTCCGAAATCAACCCCCTTCCACCCTGCTTTGGCTGTTTCCAACATCAAAAATTTCATTCCCATTACGCTCGACATGGAAAATGTCGAGTATTCTTCATGGGCGGAACTTTTTAAAATTACCGCTCGGGCATACCAAGTTCTTGATCACATCTTCCCCTCTTCGGATGATGATGATGATTCCTCCACCACCTCCTCCTATTTCGCCCCACCTGGACAATTCTCACCCAACACCTTCTCCACCTCCCTCATCTATGTCCACTCCCGAATCTTCCCCTACCCCTCCCATAATACCTCCCCCGCCCACGTCAACCAGTCATCACCCCATGATAACACGGGCTCGTGCCGGAATTATTAAACCCAAACCCACCTTTAATCTTACCGCTACACACATATCACCGCTGCCCAAATCTCCTCTCACAGCCCTCCATGACCCTAACTGGAAAGCGGCAATGAGTGATGAATTTAGCGCTCTTATTAAGAATAATACGTGGGAGTTGGTTCCCCGACCTTCTAATGTCAATATTATTCGTTGCATGTGGCTCTTTAAACATAAATACAGGTCGGATGGCTCTCTTGAACGACACAAAGCTAGACTTGTTGTCAACGGGCGCTCTCAACAACCTGGCATTGACTTTGATGATACGTTTAGTCCGGTTGTTAAACCCGCCACTATCCGGACTGTTCTCAGCATTGCTCTTCACCACTCTTGGCCTCTTCATCAACTTGACGTTAAGAATGCCTTTCTGCATGGCACTCTTAATGAAACTGTCTACATGCACCAACCTCTCGGGTTCAAAGATACTAAACACCCCACATATGTCTGCCGCCTACTTAAATCATTATACGGGCTCAAACAAGCCCCCCGGGCATGGAATCACCGCTTCTCTTCTTTTGTGACTTCCATTGGGTTCACACAGAGCAAATCCGACCCATCATTGTTTATATATTTACATGGCTCCGAGACTGCTTACCTACTTGTATACGTGGACGACATCGTTCTTACTGCATCTTCCACTACCTTACACAGCTCCATCGTCTCTATGCTAAGTTCTGAATTTGCAATGACAGATCTCGGCCCATTGACTTATTTCCTTGGTATATCGGTCACTCCTTTTTCTGGTGGCTTATTTTTATCTCAAGCCAACTATGCCAAGGAAATAATATCTCGTGCTGGCATGACCTCCTGCAAACCTATAGCTACCCCAGTTGACTCTTCTGCCAAGCTCAGTGCTACTGTGGGACCCCAGCTTGAAGACCCAACTAGTTACCGTCGACTCGCAGGAGCCCTTCAATACTTGATTTTCACCCGGCCCGAAATTTCTTATGCGGTCCAGCAAATATGTCTCTACATGCATGATCCTCGGGCTCCACACTTCCATGCACTCAAACGCATTTTGCGTTACATTAGCGGCACATTAAATTTGGGACTATACATTCGGCCGTCTTCCCTCTCAACTCTCATTTCCTATACCGACGCCGATTGGGCCGGATGCCCCGACACCCGCCGATCCACATCCGGTTATTGTGTTTTTTTTGGGAGATAATTTACTCTCTTGGTCCTCTAAACGTCAACCAACAGTCTCGCGCTCCAGTGCTGAGGCGGAATATCGAGGCGTCGCTAATGTTGTTGCGGAAACTTGCTAGCTACGCAACTTATTGCTTGAACTTCATTGCCCTCTTCAAAAAGCATCCATTGTTTATTGCGACAATATTAGCTCCGTTTACATGACCGGCAATCCCGTCATGCATCAACGGACCAAACACATTGAGTTAGATATACACTTTGTTCGGGAAAAGGTCACTCGTGGTGACGTTCGGGTTCTACATGTTCCGTCCCGTCACCAATATGCCGACATTTTTACCAAAGGTTTACCCCGGAATCTGTTTGATGAATTTCGCTCCAGTCTTAACGTGTGTCCCGCTCCCGTTACAACTGCGGGGGGGTCTTAGAGATGATGATTATTAACGTTGTATGACCATGCAACGTACGCCGGCTCTGGACTAAAATCACGCATGTGATAAAGTCGTGACATGTATATACATTAATATTTTACTATAAATTATTATTTTTAGGAATTATCCAAAGGTGAGCTTATCCGTTCCTTTGGTATTCTGTTGTAACCGAATAGGCTTATACGTAGATAGATTGTGCTTATCTTGTTGATTGTAAAGTGCTATTTAAAGCAGTCGAATACAAAGAGATCTCCACGGAGAATTATTCGATTCTAACTCCTTTTTATTTAGTCAAGTTTGAATATTTCAGTCAAACATGATAAACTTTGATCCATTATTCTAATTAATACTCACTTCGTCCCAAAAACAACTTCACAGTTTGACAATCACACAGGTTAAGAAAATAAATTTGACTTTACTGGGGTGCACTATTTTGCACTGTTCAAACACTGTTTGACACTGTTTGGACATTGTTTGACACTGTTTGACACTGTTTGACACTGTTTTGATGTAGATAATTTGCGAAATAAGGAAAGTATTGAAGTGTGAAGTTAATTTTGGGACATCCATTTAAGGAAAGTGGGAAGTTGTTTTTGGGATGGATGGAGTATATTTATGTAAAAAGTTAATCAAATTATACTTTTATACTCCGTAATACATAGTAGTACTTTAACAAAGAACATTTTCATATAATTTTCATATTATCGATATTATCGTGTATAAATATATAATCAGTCAAAGTCGAACAACTTTGACTTTCATCTTTGACTTAAAAAATAGTGTCTGGCTAAATAAAAAGGGGCGGGGGGAGTACGTAGTAATATATAAACAAATGACTGAAATGATACTTTACCATAATAATTTCAATCAAATCATCCAGAAAGTTAATTTGAATCCTATTTATTTTGATTATTACACAATTTAATATGCGGAATCAAAAATCATATGTTAGTTGCAAAAAAATTGTCTGATAAAACTGATAAGGTGAAACGTGAGAATATCACATGAGCCCAATAATAATAACACAAAACTCATGGTAAACTTGATCCATATATATATATATTGGATTTTTTTTGGATGTTTTTAGTCTTTATTAGAATACATAAGATCAAATTAAACTTCAGTATATCATACTGAGTATCATATTAAAACAAAATCAAACTTAAACAATAGTAATATATACACATTTTATGTGCTAAATATTTAGCAGATCAAATTTAAACAAACTATATTAGACCATAAAATTACAGTCAAACAAAAACATCTTTAGGACTCTAACCGTATGTAATTACTTGTAAATTGCTACTGTAAGCGTTTTGCATAGATTAAGACACAAAAATAACAGATATAGGTCCCGTTTGTATAACGGCGGATTGAGCAATCCGCTGTTCTTTTTGAACTACAAACCACTGCTAAAAGCAGCAGGTTGGCATGGATCCGCTGAAAAACAAACAGCCCCATAATGAAGTGTAAAAAGTGTAAAAGTATGAGAAAGAAAAATGAAAAATGAAAAAGTAAAAATCAAATGAAAAGGTAAAATAAAATTGACGAATACTATAAAGAAACTCTTTCAATTAATTAAATACTTCAAAAAAGAAACATTTTGCAGCTAATGGAGTATTTTTTGTATTCATCAATCCCAATTCCCATATGATTTTTGTATTTTAAAAACATACGTGTGTTATTCCAAATTAATTGCACCGCTGAATTCTTTCTATATACTTTTTAAGTTTATTGTATTGATTAAAATTCAAGTATTTAAAACAACACCAAACAAAGTTTGGTACAACAAATAAAAACAAAAGCAAATATGGATTTACCAGAGTAGTGAGTGAGACATGTAATTCGGGATGAGAGAATCACAGTTAAAGAGTCAAATGCATTTTTTGGGAAAAAAAAAAAGGGATGACACCCCAACCCTGAGGGCCCCCAACACTGTCCGGACGGCCCAAATGCATTTTTTGGATAGTTTGTTCTATGGTATCCAGTGCGTTATGAACTTTTATTGTTAGGGAGTAATAAATTTGGAGTTTTACGTTTCTAAAGCATGTCTGATCTTGTCAAAAAAATGTCAGATTAGAAAAATGCATATTTAAAGGCTTATTTTCAATGTTGATTATCACAATATACTCCGTGTTAAGCAAAAACAAATAAACATAGATTCTTTAAATAATAAGAGCACGTCTAATGAATTTCAGAACTGGTCATAAAATATGCCCATCTCTCAAATCATATCTAGCATCTAATCTTTTATCAGAGTATCTGTGAGAGCCTAAAACCTTGACCATTTCGCATCAAATCTTTACAACTTACAAGCCTGTGAATGCAAAAAAAAAAGAGACAGAGAAAGAACAACACGATCGCTTGATGGGTTAAGCCTTTTATTTGACATCTACATATGCTGTTTCTGAGTGTTGGATGATGATTTAGTTCCAGCTGTGAATGTCTATGTTGCACCGAAACAGAAACATATTCTTTCCCAGTTTCCAAATAGTTTCAGTAGAGTTTCCAAAACAGAAACATATTCTTTCCCAGTTTCCGCTTTTCATAGGTGAATGCATTATGTCCTAGTTCTTATTAGGAGGCAAGGCAACAGGAGGTTTCACTCGGATGCATTATATGCATCATAGATGTCCTCAATCTCCATTTCAGGATCACTTCCAATTATATCCCTGCCCAGACCACTCATCTCCTCATCATGTCCTATCCGAACACCTCCATAGTCTTCTTCTGAACTGCTATCGAATAAGTCCCTATCGCGTGTCTCATCTAGTAAATCATCCAACACGCCTTCTTTCTCTTTCTTAATTCTATACCCAACAAGGTTAAGAACCTTTTCTTTCCAATCAACCAGAGGATGTCTCTCGACTAGCTCCGAATTTTCATAGAATTCGTTCAAGAAGACAACAAATCTCCTACCTCTCTCCGAGACGTAAAAGATGCCGAAATGCTTTAGCAATAGTCTCATTAACTTCTGAGGCATCACAAACTCCCTCCTGAAGTGAGTCAAATGGTCTGTCACAAGCCGCTTCTCAATCATAAAGCTTAGCAACTCATGCATTACTGCCACTGCCCTCTTATCAAACTCCAGCGAACCGGCCTTTAACCCACTGGCATCTCCGTAAGGGGACAAATACTCCCTGTTCTGAAACTTCTCAATCTGAGGTTTGCACGTGGAAATCTTCTTCTTATAGTTTGGCGGGAACTTCATTGGGAAAGACAAAGAAAGAACACCTGGAAAAGAACCTTCCGGAGCTTTGCTAACACCCAAAGCTTTCTTTTCCAGCTCGGTAATTGCCCAGCTGGAATTCCAAGTCACTAGTTCTAGATACTCGCCCTCATCATAAGGCACGAAGGGTTTCACCACTCGGAAATGTTCCGGATATTTGTGCACCCAATGGTTTCTGAAATCCAAAGGCAAACCCATATCCCTCCTGAAATGAGCAATCTTATCCAGGCTAATGCGTTTATCGACAGACATCATTAACATTCGAGTCAAAAACTCTGCAGATTTGTCACTGTTTTTCTCTATCAGGTCATCTTCTTCTTGCATTAGATTTTCAGCTTCTTTTGTCATCCCACACCATAAAACTCCCCTTTGGTCATTATAGAGTTCAAAAATCTTGGGAGATTTCCGGAGGAAATCAGAGAACTTGTGAGGCCTTGGGAGGTTGATTTGCCGTCGGTATTGATCGAGGGAACGTACAGTGATGATTTGCTCCGATTCTTGCTTGAGAGTTTCGAGTATGAAGAGGATCTTGGAGAGGATTTTTTGTTTCTCCACAACAATCTCAAGGTCATGGACACGCTTCTTTTTGCTCCGATCTTGTACTCTTTTGCTGGTGGTCATTAATCGCCGACATTCTCTAAAGAGTGATGAACGGAGTTCACCAAGAAGACCAATCCGGTGAGGCATAAGTTTGAGGATGCTCAGAGCAAAACCTGACAGGAAAGAAAAAGTGCTTCAAAACATTTTCTTCATCTATATGCTAGTTGTTAGAATTAAATCTCGAAGTACATCAAGGGAATCAAAGACAGCAAAGAATAAGTATGCTGGAACACATATTCAGGAACTTATCATATGGATGATCCATCATCATCATAATCAATGATTACCCTAGTGTCACAAAGGCTCCCACCTTGAGTGGGGTAAGGGGGTCAGTACACAGTCTAACCCTTGTACTAAAGCACCGAAAGACCGTTTCATGATGACCCATAGTGAAAATCGTGTCGAAAATTGTATGAACTAACTGCTGCTTCAAAACAAAGAAGCGCAGACAGTTTAGTGAGTCATTTTGTTTTATTTCATCATATTCTCAAACCAAAAAATAGTGAGTCTTTGGCTCCATTGCAAGTGATGAAAAAATCATATGTATCATCCAATATCAAAAATTTTGGGAAAATGAGGTCTATAACTAGGCTCTGTATTCACCTTTCCTTTATTTTATGTTTTCTACATACGGATCATATTGTGTTGATTACCACCACACCACAGAAATGATTCCAGTAAAAGGTCCTTTAATATTTGAATTAATCTAATTTGATGCAACTCCATTAGCAGGTCTTTGTTGTTTGCATATTTGACAAAAAAATAAAGAAAATATGGCATACCAATAAGGCCGATCACTTGAAAATACCACAGCCCATTGAGGAATTTCACTGAACACCTTATAATCAATATCAAAATTTGTTACTCTACGCTCCTGAATCCTTCAAACCTATTGATCAAACACAAAAACATTTTTAGTAAGTGTCTTGAAAATGCAATTGCCCGTAATAATTTTCTATGCCAGTAGTTCTCCACGACTCCACTTCTCCATGGAATGGCACTGGTCTTGCAATGGAGTTGTCAAGGAAGGATATGATTAGAGATGACTTACAGATAGAGACCTAGGCCGGCCCTGATTATCGTTGGTAGGATGACAGATAACCAACAGGCTGCCTCTGAAATCCTGTTATCCAAAGCCTAAGCCTAGTTCAAGTGTCCAGAAATTCGATTTTTTTACGATGGCCTGCTGCGGAAGATGGAACTGTGGAAGTACCGATTGCTTCATCCTCCTCCAGCGGCAATAGCCTGCGACACTGCGGCCTGCTTACCAGCTTAGAGCCGCCGGGCTTGACCTGCTTCCTTGCATAGAGCCTGCGGCCTGCCTTGCCGGTTGGTGCGAAGCTGCCTGGTTTGTTTTGTTAAAAAAATTCTAATGAATGCGTATTAGTGCATTATTACTGCTCCTTTTCCTATAAAACTTGGATACACATTTTTTTATAGAAAAAATACTACAGGCGGAATATTTCAACTCAAAGATAAATAATTTCATTATGATTTATCGATGGGAAAGTTCCCGAAATAGGACTAAAACAGTTTGAAAATTTCAAAATAGGACTGTCATGTTTTTTATTCCCAAAATAGGAGTAATTACTGCCAAGTTTGGAAAATACTGTCATGTTTGAAGTCTGGTACTACCAAAACATGGCAGTAATTAGTCCTATTTTGGAAATAAAAACATGTCTGTCCTATTTTGGAATTTTGAAATCCTTTGATTTAAGCACTTAGCCGTTTAGGTTCTTGGAATTAAATTATTTATGAACGTTAAGACTTCAAGATAAAGGCTCTATAATTTATTTTAATATTTCATTACGGTATTATTTTCAGTTTTAAATTTATGATAAAATGGTGTTAATTAATTATTATGAAATTATCTATTTAGTGAAAGATTAAAAAAATTAATCCATAATTTCATTCCTTTCCATTTTTAATACGGGGTATATTCTTAAATTAGAGTCAAACACAACGCCAATGATAGTTTGGTAAAAGTGTAAGGTAATGATTTTTTGTTATATACTCGATCACTTTGTGTAAAAAAACCATCTCAGATTTTTACAGGTTATATCAAATATTCCATTTTCTTTATAAAAAATTTATTCTTAAAGGACCACATTTACAGTAATTTAGGCAATTGAACGGTGACATTTACGATCTCAGAAATACGAATTTGACATTTTAATATGGTGACTATTTCAGGAATTAAAAGTGCAATTTCCCTGGAACTTTTTAACCTAGGAAACTCGGCAAGATCTTTTTATAAATAAAGAAAGTGCATGGAGAAATAAAGCATTGATAAAAACTCATTTATTCAAGAAAAAATTCCTTAAATAGGATTAAAATAAACATTAAGTTCATAAGTAGGACTCTCTTTGTTTTATTCTTAAAATAGGACTAACTCACTCACTACATAAGTCCTATTTGAATAATAAAACATACTTAGTCCTATTTTTGAACTTTGTGTATGTTTTAATCCTATATTGGACAATTTATATTTAATTAATCTATACGTGTTATATAAAGACAAAAAGAAAAACACATCAACCCTTTTTTAAAAGATTACCATATGTCATTATCCTTTTTGTACATTCCTAGATAAAAACAAACACAAGAAAATAGCTCTCCATAGCGTTTTTGTCATTCCCTGGCAATTTCTGTGATTCAAACATATGTAAAATGCATATGACATGCCGAAAGGTTGAACACAGCATAATATGGAACTAAAAACAAAAATAATACGGTAAGAGTTCTCATAACCAACCTAATGAAGTTAAAAAAAAGTTTGTACTTCTTTGAGGATTTTTCTCCAGCAATTTACTTGCAAACAAGAAAATTGAACTACTTTACATCATTTACATAATCTTCTGAATTTATATCAATGGTTCACACATGCATATGTAAAAAGGCTATCAAATGTATAATCACCAACCAAAATCACATTTCAATTTCGGTAAAAATTAGGAAAAATATTGATGATTATTAACAAAAACAATGAAGTGATGAAGGACTGCCTACTGGGGTGCTGGCTGCTAGCGGAGAACAAAAGAAGCTGTTGGCGGAGGGGGAATGGCGGGGGACAACGAAGTCACGAGATGGAGGTAAGCTAGAGAGAAACAGAGTCTTTCGTTCCCGGCAATGAGTTGTGCAACAGGACTACAGGAGGGGCTGAGAAATTATTTCATGACACCATATAAACCAACAACCATCAGTTTAATTTTATCCATGTTCTTCACTTTGTAAGCCCTTTAGATAATGTGAGTATAGAATATTTTGGAAATAGCAAAGTTTATGCCCAAGATTACTTTTTTATGATTGCTGTCATTGGCTGGGAGAATATAACATCTTCAAATGATCATTTATATATTATACAGTATAAATTAATGCTTCCTATAAATCTGTCTTTTTCACCATTAACGGTTCATCACAAATTTGTATTATGTACTGGTACATTTCTTTGGGAAAAGAAAAAACGAAAATTAGACCCTACTACAAGTATTACTGGCACAACAACAATAATATTTTACTACTGGTGCAACAAACAAGCGCATTATGATTTATTAATTGTTACTAACAATTTCTATTTACACAAAATCGTGCAGAGAGCTAGGCTAGCTAGCTGGATGGCTTTGCCCCAAGGATTTTGGAAAGCTCCTTTACCATCATAGTCTTCTCCTTATTAACACCTACTTCTCTTTCCCAATGCCATTTCTTTGACACATCGCCCGCCTGAAATTTTGTTAATTTTCACAATCATTAGGTTTATATACAGTCTGTGACTCTGTGTTTCAAGGACGGTTCAGTCTGTACCCAAGTTCTCAAAGGACTCAGCCGCTCCTTGAGCGCTTCGAATCTTGGGTGAATAATGTCTTTTCCTTTGGTCCTTATATCATCAGCCTGTTCAAACAGGCAAAAGATTAGCCTTGCACAATACACTACGCTCTCACAATTACCAGATTGTAAATTCACTATACCCTCAATAATGTTGTGTGAGTGACCGTGTGTATGAGAGAAATGAGAGATCACAAATGCTGTTGGTACACATATTTTGTATACATTGTGGGTACTCCCCCTAGTTGTTTGTCTACACAAGCAATTCGTTCAAAAGTTGCCTTGTAAACAAACAACTAGGGGGTGTACATAAAAGGTGTAAAAATATGTGTACACCAAGAATGGTTCATGAGAGATAGATAGAATAGATGAACTCAGGCACGCCCAATGGGAATTCCAGTCAGACACTTTAATTTTGGACAAAAATAATTCAACAGGTTTCCTTCATTAATATCAACTACTAATTTCAATTGTTGGATAATGAGAGAAGGAATTAGTATACCCTTGAAATTATTTTTCAGAGAACATATATATCACTTGATTAAAAAAACTATTTGGTCAGAAGGATACATTTGTTCTAAATTTACAAGTTTTGTGTCAATTGTATAGAAGATTCCAGAATATTATTATCTATTACATCAGTTATAATTATTTATTAAAATCTTCAGTCACATATCTTTCTGGTTATTACTGTAATTAGTAGTTCCTTATACACTCCCTACACCATTATATAATTACCATCACATGCTATGGAATAAAGCAAGAAATACAGTCCGAAATTTTCTGTCTTACTAAACTTCTTTAAATTGTTCCAAAAGAATGTTGATGGGCATATGAGTTCTTTGACGTACAATTTAGGGGCATATATGTTTCTTCTCCCATTCAGAAGGAGAGAAAATGGATTACTAACTTTTATAATTGAACAAATTGAACATCTACTAGTTGACAATTAGATAAACTAAAGAGCATAAAACAGAACCGTTGAATTGCAAAATTTGATGCTTTTATGACCAAATTCATGTTAGATACAGATAAGACTCGCATGAAGGGAACACTACTCTCCCTATCACAGACGTGAGGATATTAGTACATGAGATGATCATATGCTTACATTGTGAAGTTCCATCTTAGAGGCAGCCAATCCACATGCCAAGGCGGCACCACCAAAGACAAAAGTTGTAGCAGCAGCAAATGCCTTGCCAACTACAAATGAGTAATGGCCAATGTTTCAGATGCCAAATATATATGTTACCAAACATCACATGGCAGTTATTAAATATTATTTTGCAAATGAAACTTCCACACATGCAATGATCAGATCACTAGACTTTGATTGCACAGAATAGAGCACAGGCAATGATCAGATCACCAGACTTTGATTGCACAATGCAAAAGTTCTTCACTTATCAAACATAATGTGTATCGCCCATTCACTTAACCAATGAAACTGGATCATAAGTACTTTTATTAGCCTTCAATCTGTTTAGAAGGTGTATGCAGGACAGTGGTAAAGGGACTATCCAATATGACAAAAAAAAGAAGATAGAACTCTACCATACAAGAGCATGCAATTCATGGTATATGGGGTTTCTGTAGAAATCTGTTGTCACTTTTCAATGATCATATACCATGTCAGTTTTTTATATATTTATATACGAAGTGCACCATTTGATGGGGAGTAAAAACATGGAGGGGTTGGATCCCCCCATTCTTTCGCCGAGTTGGACACACACACATATATATACAAATATTTATGAACTACAAAACAACATGTTGATATAAGCTTTGCCCCCCTAATACAACATTTTTGGCTCCATCCTTGCTTGGACAACAACAAATGCAACTATTTGCTTTTTCTTGTGAGAAATATCTCATTAGGGCATGATATAAAAATAGAACAGCTTGTTTTTTGTTACATTCAGTGAACAAAAGCTACTTTCCGCACTGCAATTTTCTAACCCATCATATAGGTATGTAAGTATAAATTTTACTGGAGGAATAAATTCCTACAACAGAAATGAATGACTGATACACATTTATATATATATAAAGACTTGCAGCGTATCCTGAATTCATTAAGTGGTGTTAGACAAGTAAACAGTGCTTACTAAGCAACAATACACATCAATGAGAATATCAGTAAACCAAATTTATGTATGAGAAAGAAACATGAATGGCTTAATCTTACTTTGAGACAGTCCTGCAGCTGCAGCCCTTAGCTTTTCAGGATTAACTGTGGTTTGTCTGTCACTTCGCAATTCATTTGCAGTTGAGGCGAGTAATGGGTTCCCAGAGCTAGGCAGCTGCCATCTAGGCAAATATTTAACACAAAGTTATAATAAAAAAATCTTTGTTTAAATGTGTATGTGTGTGTGAGATAACACTATGAAAACACGGTAAATGGAATGAAGTCCTAAAACAGATCAGATCAGCAAACATAACATAAATCTTTATATCAAACTCTATGAGTATTTAAAAGCCTTTGTGGAGATCATACCATCTTACAAGTGGAAGATTCAAATTTAGGCAAAGTTCAATCATTTAATTAGTTAATTCTATATCTATGTTCTCTTCATCA